AAATGTTTGTCATCATACTACATTAATAGTCTAGCTGTTTCTGGACCTGCCACCATCCACCGTCTCAGTGCTGCTTTATTTTCAGTGATACCTATTACGCTTCCATCTCCCTTCACAATTGCATTCAGCTTTTCATGAACTTGATCATGGGCTAGTGCTGAGAATTTGTGCATGGTTTTCTGTGTCACAAAATTGCCTTTGAGGAACTCTGCATGTGTGGTATGGCAGTTAATCTCGAGGGCAAGAAATATCTCTCACATGAACAGTCATCCAGCGAGCATAGTGATAGTGGTCAAGAGCGAACATTCACGGAATAATCTTTCCAATTAAGTGACTCCACATAGGCAACATATTTTTGTTCACGCTGTGATCTAAGGAACGACGTTTTGGCAGGCACGCAGGCGTACCTTCCAAAGTGTAACAGAAATTATGAACTAAAGTATAGATGGCATGATTTTTCATCATGATTTTTCACATGTGTAACCGAGTTCTTTGACCTAAAAACATTTTATATTGTATTTGTTTAATTTGAAGATGTATGTTAGGATATTTCATGTTTTCCATCGGGTTCCTTGACATAAAAACTGGTATAGATACCTAGATCCTGGTAATCGTGGCACGTATAGCCATTTTATGGCAAAGAAATGCGTTTGTGGCAGCCATTTTGGATTAAATATTTTTGGCGGGAAGATGTTATGATAGATCACAATGTGTTCTATATCCGTTCTATGGGGTTCATTGACCTCAAAAACATATGTATAGAGACCAAGATCATGGTACTTGGTGCACTTACAGCTGATTTATGGGCAAAACTGTGTTTTGTGGTGGCCATTTTACCATATAACCATATACCATATAAGCAAGAGCTAATAAATACTATTTATTTATAGGTATTTATTAGCTCTTGATATAATATATATTTACTTTTTTATCTTGGATCTTATCATGTAGCTATGGCCGTGTGTATCCATGTACCAGTTATGCGAACATATATGCTGTTACCATAGAAATATATAGAGACACTATATTATTATTTCTATGGCTGTTACACTCAGGGGCATAGGAACGAAGTATTATTGAGGGGGCGGTAAAAGGCATTATTTGATTTATTTATTTATTTATTTAAGAGCGAGAGAGAGTAGTAAACTGAGACGGGGACAGGAAAACGGTGATACGATGTGTGTGCGGGTGGGAAACGGTGTGCAAGGGGATGGGAGGTGGGAGGCAGGGGGAGGGAGATGGGAGGCAAGGGGTGGAAGTGAGAGGCAAGGGGAGTGACGTGGGAGGCAGGAGGGAGGGAGGTGGGATGCAGTGGGGAGGGAGGAGGGAGGGAAAGACCCCCCTGCCCCCCTCTAATTAAACTTGGAGATCCATGTTCATATGTTGAAATCTTATGTCAACGTCAATGTCATTCATTACATTCTATTCGATTAATTATAGTCGATAGTATAAACTTTGTAATCCATGCTCATATGTTTAAATCTTTCATGTCAACGTCAATGTCATTCATTAAATTGTATTTGAATTATTATTGTTTTTGTTATTAGAATTAGCCCATAGTGATTAGGTGGGTGCGAAAGTGTAGTTACAGAGTCCTGCTGATATATTTATTCGAATTGGCTACGAAAGTCAAAGAAGAATAAAGAAGACTTATGTATAAGACGTCTTGATATGCACAAATGCATTTAGGCCAAACAAAAAAATACCTTTGGTTCGGGTCACATGGATTGTGAAAATTAGGGTAGGTAGGTAGGCATAACATTTTTATTTTTTTTACTTTTTTTCCTGTAAAAACATTGGGAGGCAGGAATATAATTTTTTTTTTCCCAAGTTAAATATATACAGCTTGAAATGCAGGAGCCACGAGATGCAAATGACTTGCAGTTGCATGTACCATTGCTGCAAGTCATGACATTGTTTTCAAAATGTGAACACCAGTTGTGTACTGGTGTCGTGTACTGGTATTCGTGTCGTGTACTGGATAGTAGTGTTAGGAATCGCTCCAAAAACGGAGCTCGATTAATTGTCCCTTTGAACGAGCGAGTAACCGAAGGGTAAACGCCCGGGCCTCCCACTCCGAGGTCGGAGGGACCGCATGCGCGTTCCCAAAATCTCCGGTAAAGGGGTATTTTTCGCGCGACAAAATCCGGCCCAAGAATTGTAACAAAAAGGGGGTGCATTTGACTTTTCACCAGGAGATTTCTATAAAAAGCGGGTGTTTTTCCTCTCTCTCTTTCATCTTGAGTATCATAGAAAACTTGGCCCAAGGATAGAAAACATGGTTTATCAAATCCCGGGATCAAATTCCTGAAATTTCTGCTAGTTTTGAAAGCTCATTCTGGATTATTTCGGATTTAGGGGGGTCTCCAAGGCAGGAAAAACCAGCAAAAAGCCCGCGAAAGGTGGGTTCAGAAATTTTGGCAGTCCTGAGATAGTGGGGTGCTTTCAAAGGGAGGGAACGAGCATATGCATACCCTAAATAACACTGAGTGGGGGGCCTGGGTGTAAACGCCTCTGCGGCCGCGTATAGCACGATAGCATGTGTATACTATATAGTACGCGATCGATCGCGTACATCAAAGCCGGCCGCCGCGCCATACGACCTTCAGGCTCTGTTTATGAAGTACCCGGCCCAGGCTCTATACGACTGTTTCACGTTGTAGGATTCTAGGAAACGTAGGTAGGAACTGTTTCACTTCTCGCCAACGAAGTTCTGTTTATAAATATTTTGGAACTCTCCTTAGGTAAATAAAATGACAAGAGTCGGATATTTGAATATGTATGATCGGCAGGCGGTATCTTTGAATTTTATTTTTTCTTGAAATCCTCTAAAAGTGTCCGCAGTCGCACATTCAGTCGCAGTCGCTCAGAAATGTGAAGTCGGGCGGGTGACCCGAACTAAAGTTAATTTTTAGGTCGGCCTTATCAGAAGAACACCAGACACCATGACAGATTGTTTTTGTTGTTATTGTAGGAGCCGCTGTTAGACCTGTTTTTCATATTTCTCTTGCATATAAAGAACCACGAACCCGCCTATATATGTATATATATATGTATATGCTTAACGGTGTCAGGTTATCATTTAGGGATGGTAAGGTGTCTATCTATTGTCATCTCGGTGCTAATGCTGGTCTGTATGTGCAGGTTGTTACGAATCGGGACACACAGGAAACTCTTCTGTGCATAGCGTACGTGTTTGAAGTGTCAACAAGCGACCATGGAGCCCAGCACCACATCTACCGGCTAGTGAAAGACTAACTATCCATGATATCCACCACATCTACTGGCTGGTAAAGAACTAACCATCTGTGGTGCCAGAAAACACCTTAATCAATCATGAAAAGTTCCATTTCGAGGCACAGAGCTATGAAATCAGTGTAGCCCGAATTGGGGTGGTTCTATGTCAAAAAGTGTTGCCATGTGGAAAAGTCATGACATTGTTGCTATGTTCAGGCATTATATTGCAGGCAATATTTGTATGTCACAATGCAAGGCTTGTGTCAAGCTGAGAAACTGCAATGACCACGAGCACAAGTCACATGCTCAGTCATCACGATGCTGTGGCCATGTTTGGTCTAGCACGTTGTATTGACATTTTAAACCCGCATGGCGCGAGTTGATCTCTGCAGCTGTGCGTGGACTTGACAATGTGAAATGCTGTCGCGTTTACTAGTTGACTGATGCTTTCTGCAGTTCGACCAATGGCAGCTTTGACTGACTATACTAGATATAACAAAAGTTCAGAAGCTCTTCCCTGGGTCGGAAGAGCTGCCTTCTTGTACGAAGGAAAAGTTGGTGGGTGCAGAGTGCTCCCATCTGAGTGCCCATTATCCTACTATGTAAGGTACTGGTTCACTCAGTGGTACGTGTACAAAGTTCTGTTTATATGATTGGCTAAGGGGAGCCACTGTCTACCGTTGCATGTGCCTTCGTGTGTGAAATCGGTGTTCTTTATCCCTTTTGCATATTCAGGACGTTCCATACACGCGTAAGCCAGCAGTTTCTGTTGTTCCACACTGGTGTTCACACAGTGTTCATTTCAGTATTATTGTGAAATATGTGTGCAGACGTGCATGGCATGTGTTGTATAATGTAGCATTTCTGTATGTAGTAATACAAAACCATTCAGAGAGCAGCTATATCACGGGTGCGCCTGTGTGCAGGTTCTTCTGTGAATTTCCCCCAATCTGTGTCATGCAAGGAAAGCAGTGCAAAACAGCACGTGCTCATATTACGTGCATTAGTTACATTATATTATTGTTGTTTTCATTATTATTGTTGTTGTTGTTACAAATCAGAGTGCAACACTCTTCATGTGGGTGGTGGATTTCCGAATCCGCACATGGAGTGGGAGGCAGCTGTCTCCAGATTTAGGTTGTCCTCAACATGCATTCAAGGGTTTCAGCTGTGGCATGCTATGACAAGACTTTCACTTGTGTGCCAATTACCGTCACGAGTTTGGCATACAAGGGAACCTTGTGCTTTCCAGCATATCTATTCATATCAGCCAAAACATATCTGCAAACGTGCTGCCAACTTCAGGATATTTTTTTACATTTACTGAGTATAAAATCGCTGTCTTTTCTACTTTTCTACAGAAAGTGTTGATTGTGCATCATAAACCTATTTTTCATAAGAAAGAGATTTTTGCCATTGGCATGTTGCAAGTCCATTTGTGTGAGAACTCACATTCAAGTGCATCGTTTCATTTTTTACTGGTAACTAGGTGCAATACTACTTAGAATCAAGATCGAACATATAGTTTCTATGTAGTACTGTTTTGCACCATTCTGCAGAGCAACCGAGCTTCATTGATGCATAATATGATCTTAGCATATCCAGGGCCATAGCTAGGGAGGGTGTCAAGGAGGGGCGTTCATTTTCTCCCCCCAAAAGGAAGATGGTCAATGGGGAATTGTCCATGGTCACAAGCACTTGTAACGTTTCAATAATAAGGCGTAATAAAGTAGGTAAAGTGGTAAATAAACACAAAATGTATTTACTACCAATGTCTTACTGTCTTAATGTTTCTCTACACTCTTGCGCCTGTTATTAGTAATGACTTTCTGTAAATGCCATTGAAATGCGCCTCCTCATTATCAACACGCAAGTACATGGCACGAACGCCATACATTCAAGCCGGACATTCGTGTGGTGTGCTTGTGTGTTGCAGAACCACCATGCAACAGTGCATGTGTTACAGAAAGTTATTGCTAATAATAGTCGAAAGAGAGTAGAGAAACAGACTTTGGTAGTAAAAACATTTCGTGTTTATTTACCATCATGTTATTATTGAAACGTTCCGAGTGCCTGTGGCCATGGTCAGCTGCCCAGAACACGTACAGCCCGCACGTTGCTTTGCCCCTCCCCCATGCAAAATAGGTTAGCTACACATCTGATATCACACATGACTTGTTAAATGTACTAAACAGCGTATCTGGGCAACTAGCCCCTGGACAACTACCACCCGTACAACTGCCACCCGGACAACTACCACCCAGACAACTACCACCTGGGCGGCTACCCCCTAGGACAATTACCACCCGGACAACCACCACCCGCACAACTACCAGAGGACCGATTTTTACATTTTTTGTTTAAAAAGTTATTGCCAGAAAAGTTATCTGAAGAAAAAAAGTCGCTATAATGGATTAATGACGTACTTCAAGTTTTCATAAACATTCTAAATTTCTTTTTATATATTTTCATAGATCTTCCTCTAGTGTGAAATTTCACGAATTTCCAATTGTCTCCCAAAATGACCCTTGAAAATATTCAAAAATTATTGTTTCAATTGGAAATGAGTGAAAATTAGGTTAGTAAATTGTTCGTAGTGGTAAGTGTCTGGGTGGTAATTGATCCTTTGGTAGTTGTCCGGGTGGTAATTGCCTGGGTGGTAATTGCCCGGGTGGTAATTGTCTTAGAAGGGTGATTGTCCTATAGGGAGTAGTTGTCCGGGTGGTAATTGTCCAGGGGGTAGTTGTCCTAGAATCCTAAACCAGTGGTATGTATATAACACAACATAAATTTTCGTGGTCCCAAAGCAGGCACGAATTGCAAAAAGGTCTGTAATAGGGCATGTGTTGGCGCAAACGTGTTTATATTTGTGTACATGGTGCAAGGTACGTTCTTGTGTTTCTGCTTTGCTAAGCAGTGAGCCTGACAAGCAGTGCAAACACAGTAGATTGTGTACATCATAGTGCTTGCCGCCAAATCTCAGAGATGCAGTATTCTGTGTTATTTAAAAAAAACAGACTGGGTATTGAATGTGTTGGAGAAGTAAATATTTCAAGGGGTATGTAAGTAATGTGTGGTCTCTCATACATTCACACGTGCATTCATACGTGCATACGTGTGTTTGAGTAGTTGCGCCTGCAAGCATCTGCGCGAATGAACAAAATACAAAATAGAGTAGACTTGCTGTAGAATGGTGTGTAAGCCATTGCTGGTCACAGCTGCCTAGTTATGGTCACGACGGTCCATGGGCTGAGGTTACTATTGGTAAAAGTAGGTGTAAAAGACAATAGGTAGAACTAATGTGGCAATGTGAGCCAGTGAACAACGTTGACCGTCTTACACCAAAGTAACGATCATCATTTCACTCGGATTTTTAGGAGTTCTGTCCACCACAACCTCTCAGTGTGAGATCAGTCTAAATTGTTTATAAATCGTGGAGAGATGGAGCTGTAGGTAGGATAGAATTATGACCCGGAACTTAGTCCAAGGCCATCAGAAGGCCCAGGTCTGTTATGCTGTAAGCCAGCATGGTTAATATGTGGCTGGTAATCTTCAACGTTTGTATTAGTGCGTTAGTGTTCAAGTTCTTCCAAAATATGGAACATGGCTCAAAATCCATTCAAGCCTTTGTTTGTTGTGCATTTTTGTCAATCCGTCGTTAAACTGTGTAGTAGTATTTATTAAAGCTCTTGCACTAAGTTCTCCCACCACCAACTTCCGTTTCCTAACAGTATCAGACGAATTTTCCTGGTGCTTACACGGAACCTCCGTTTAGTTGGTTTAGCTGACTATTTTACACCCACAGGAGTGATGTCCTC